AAATGACAAATAAACAAGCGAATACAAAAATAAGTGAAAACTTCTGTCCTCGGCATGCCGAAGATTAGATACCCTTGCTGACCACACCATAAATTCAAAGAAACTGAAAACACTTCTTCAGATTTTCAGGTCAAAATGGTCAAACAAGAAGTTGATCTTTCGGCCGATCTCAATGATTGATTGTCCAAATGTTAGCAGCATAATAATCCGCATAACTACTGAGTTAATTGAGGATAACTTGTTAAACAAGATGGTTGTTCAGCTAATTGATATAGTGATTCGCTTCGGCGAACTGGCAAGAATACATCTATAAAAGCTTTGAGCTTGGAAACGTTTTCTTTAATGCATTACAAACTTGACAACTAAATGATGATGCCTCCCCCCAAAAAAAACATAAAGTTATCGTTATATAAATATTAATAGTGTTGAGCTAAGCAAATGTTGAATAACAATCAAACAAAGGGCATATCAAAGATTGTTCAATATGTCAATATTGCTGTTTGCAGAGAGTAATATTTTGAAGAAATGTTAGTCAGTGACTGCTGTTGTTAAGAATGCCTTAGATAATGCTTTCTATACTGAGTTCGAATTTTGTTTTATCTATTTATAAATAGTGGTACATATATATATATATATATATATGAAAGATCTTGCTAAATGATCTTGTGAGCAGACTTAGTGTTAGGTAATTTTTGAAGGCTGCTTGTTAATAACTCTTTCAGCGAAAGTGCTAATTGAACTTGTTAGCAGAATTGGAGTCTACGCAATATACCAGTATCAATAAAATTGGTGTTCTGTTTAAACTTCTTGTTATATTGAGCATATCTGTGAGCCAGCTGATTGTTACAAAATAGGCAAAAATATGGCCCTATGGCACTGCTGAGATGCACACAATCCGTTGATGTTCAAATGTTCAATAGACCAAAAAAAAAAATATTGAAACAAATTAACTTTCTATGCGTGCAGCATTATCGAAAAGCCTTCAACATGCTTATAATTGCTGGTTCCATGTCGGCCAAACGATTCGAACTTGTAAATGGAATTGGTCAACTTGATGGCCTGCTGGCTTTTCTTGTTTCTTGCGTTTTCAAATTTCAATTCGATTTGTGAACTTCGGTTTGATGTATTCGTTTTCGTTTTCCACGCAAGTTCATTATAATGCTGTTGGCATATTTATTATGTTTATTATGTTTTATGTAGGGCTCTTGTTCGGCTCGACGGGCTTTTGACATTTTTTCTGCGTTTTTTCTTTTTTTATTTTATTTATTTGTTTTTTTTTTTCGGTTTTTTTTTTTTTTTTTTTTTGTTTCCAACCCCAAAAACCTAAACCTAAATCAAATGAAGTGCGTGCGTGCTGCGTTTGGGTAATCGTCAACTAGGCGCTGTCTAGGCCATTTGTATTTGGCCTGATCGTTTTGGTCATTTGACATGCCACATTGACTTGGCATTCACACAGTTTCGTCTTGTTTGATTGCCCGATCATTATCACAAATGATGTTATTTGCTCTTTTTTTTTCTTCATTTTTCTTCTTTTTTTTTTGTATGATTGAAGATGATGTCGCGCTGTTTCTGTTGTTGTTGTTGCTGGCCACTCGTATCTGTCATACCAATTGTCGTTGAAACGTTGAATCAGTTGGCCCTCTTTTTTATTCACGGAACTGGACTGGATTGGACTGGGCTGGGCCCTGGTTGGACCCCTCCACGACGCATCTTCGCCCTTATAACGTTTTGTAATTGCCCTCAAAGTCGAGTCATAAATTAATTAGTTTAAACGCTTACCCGGACTTTTTCGTCTTCGAACAAGCTGACCAGAAAATCGAAAGTAAATTTTTATTTAATTTACGATCATTTGAGTGCGCACATGCGCACCACTTGTCCGTCCATCTGAAGCAAAACCCCTCCTCGCGCCCTCGCACCCTCCATCCGTGCGACTCTGTGTCGCCTCTAAGGTCGATCGGTTGATTGTTCGATCGGTTAAGATCACTCGCTGAGATCTTGCTGTTTGCTCACTTGCTCGGTCGTCGGCCCTCTATCTATCTCTATCTCTATTTGTCTTTCTCTCTCTTTCCCCCTCTCTCTCTCTCTCGCTCCCTCTCTCTCTCTTTTACTGCATCCCACTCAAGTCAGTTTGTTGTTATTTAGTTGCTTGATTAGTTGGCTCGTTGACTCGTTGATCGTTTGTTTATATTTTTTTTTTTTTTGCGCTTTATTTTTTTGTTTTGCCAAATTGAAAAGCTACTAAAAAGCCAAACACACAAATTAATTGTTCTAAAACAATACAAATTCGTCATAGGCATTTATTTATGGGCTCTCGCAGGGAGCTGGGAACATCACAGCATTGTGAATCCGCAGATGGAAGACCTTAAACGTTTGCTGTTTTGCAAGGTTAGCCATATATGGCTACATTAATATATATGAATGATTGTGTTTTTCCATGCGAGCCGAAAAAAATTGAAATTAAAAGTAATCATTTCCTGCCAATAGTTGGTAAAGGGTTGCGCAATTCATCCATTTTGGAGAAGTCTTCCCAGCCTTATCAACCAAAATAATGATAATTAACATAATGCTAAATTGCAATCAGTTTCATCCACTTGAAGTGTTAAAGCTTAACCGATTTTTGTGTGTATTGTGAAGTAGCCAAGGTTTTGGTAAACATATTTTTAACGAACTTAAGGCTAAGCAGATAACGGTTTTTATCATCTAGCATCATATAATGATGATGAGTTGCAATTACATTTATCTATCTAAGACGATCAATCAAAACTTTAATTATAGTTTCACTAGAATCGCTTTGCAGATACTTCTTTTGATTTGAAAATCCCATTTCCTAGGACAAATTAATCTTGCTTATAGCCGATCTTGCTGTAACAATCGGCTTCATATATTTCCATATCCAATTTATTTGCAAACAATCAAATTTGCTCTCTAATCTGTGAGCAACTTACCGAATGCATTGTGATGCAACCCATCTACAGCATATATATATATATATATATATATATATATATAGATATATATACGTATATATAGATATATATACGTATATCGAGCTGTGGATGAGGCTCATCTATTACCTCGTCCCGGCTATCTGCAGGTGTCGATCAATGTCTGTGTGGAAGAGATCAAAACGTTTTCAATTGGGCCAAGAGGTCATCTGCGGTTTTTACCTGCCAGCCATGGAGTGCTAATGAGAAGCACGTCTAAAGGGTTACGGAGTTGGGGGGAGGGGCAGAGGGAGGAGGCAGCAACTGCTGCAGACAGGCAGGCAGGCAGGCAAACAAAGAGCAACAACGACAACCACAACAACAATAATAGCACATTAGTCCGAGTAATGATGATGATCAATGAAACTAATAAACAACAACAGCAACTACAAGCGTCAATCGACAACTGACAGCAGCAACAGCAACAGCAACAGCAACAACAACAGCAACAACATGAACAACAACAACAACGCCAACACTCATGCCGGAAATAGTAGAACGTGTTTATGCCACAATTTCAAGTTGTTGAGCCACGCACAGACAATGCGTCAGAGCGTCAGCGGCGAGACATGCGTGCCAAAAACGGCTACTATATAGAGATACAGCTACAGCTACAGCTACAGCAACAGATACAGATACAGCTACACTTACAGATACAGATACAGATACAGATACATCTACATCTACAGCTACATCCGCAGATACCCTTTTCATGGCTGCTGCTTGCGGCAAACAGTAGCCAAATAACAGAAAATCAAAGCTGCTGTTTTGTTTGTGGCAAATTAGACAGAGAGAGAGAGAGACAGAGAGACAGAGAGAGAGAGGGAGAGAGAGAGAGAGAGAGAGAGAGAGTCTGTGTGTGTAATCGCAAATACGTTAAGAACGATAAACGATAAATGTTTGCAATGCATCTATGCAGCACGTGCTGAAAGATACATTTGTATCTTTATGTTGCAGATTGTGTGTGTTTTGCAGTCGCACATACACCATGTGAATCCTCCAACGTGCGAATCACTTACACACACACACATACACACACACACACACACACAGGGGCGTACCACACACTCCATTCATAAATTCTTCATTCAGATTTGGTACTCGTTCACTCGTTCGTTCGGTCTTCAGATCACGTGCGTGCCATCAACTTAGCCAACCAGTGGGCAGCTTGCTATGTGTGTGTGTGTGTGAGTGTGTATCTGTGTGTGTGAGTGTGTGCATGGTTGAGGGGAGCAGCGGTGTAAGCCAACTAACCAGATTGGTTTGGGTAAGGTGGGGGTACATTAAACCGAAACGTGCGTGCGCCCAACGTTGGGCAGCAGCAGTAGTTGATTGACCCGTTTCGCTGCCAACTGTTAATGTACTTATTCACATATACATACACTCAGAAAAAACAAGACCTATAATGTAGAAAATCACCTTATTATTCAAAAAGTATTCATATAAAACGACCAATTGTGTCTAGGCTAAGAATCAGGAGTTTTCTTTTCTTCATTTCAGATTCGACTTTTTTTAAATTACAAAAAAGATGAATAATTTTCAGAGTTTTTTTTTATATGTGTACACAGAATTGTATTAGCATTTTGTTACTTATATTTTATTATTAAACATTTGCATTTTAGAATAGAAAAATAGTTGCTTCAATTTTTTTTTCAATTTTCTTTGCTCGAAAAATGTGTCAATTTTCAGAGCGATTCTCATTTTCAAAATTAAACTGTGTGTGTGTTTTTTTTTCTAAGTGTATATATTTACATTGCGAGTTGTCTGTGCGCCTCACACGCCACGCCCCCGAAAAGAAGAAGAAGAAGACGAAAAATGCGAATCGTGCTGCAATTTGAGTTGCATTCGAATTGGTTTTCCGGTTGATATCAATGCATCAATTGGATTGATCGTCTTCCAATTGCGTGCTGCATATCAATTGAATTCCTTCTACGAGCGATTGCATATTGCTCAGAAACGTATCTCATATATCAACACCCAAAACCAACTAATGAATTTTCTCTTTTTATTGTGCAGATGCGTCTCTTATTGGACTCGAATAAGAAGCAACAGCAGAAGTGGGCGCGATATGTGCAATAAGTGCAACGGCCCCAGGCACCTGTAACAATGTAAGCAATAATTGCCAATTCAATTATCATTTTTCCTATTGCTATCGATTGCCATCGATTGAATAGTAATGCTTGCTTTTACTTTTAAATAACTGCCAAGAAGTAGCGCATATCGAAAAGAGCTTAGAAATTAGGCAAGTGGCAATTGAAAGGTATTGCAGTGAGCCGCACCAGTTATCGATATTAATCGATAGTGCTAGTTTTGCTTGTATACCGAGGTTGCTTGCATTTTTATAATACTTTTTGTTTGTCTTTTGACCCTTTAAGCTATCCGTGTGACCTGCTTACATAAGCATTGGCATAGGCATAAATATGTATCTTCGACTGACAAAAGTGTGCTCTGCTCTGCTCTGCTTGTATCGCAACTGCCAGCTGCTAACTGCTGACCTCGTTATACTTATACATGTATATATATATATAGATGTTTTTTCTTGCAGTCTGTTTAGTTGCTTGTTGGCTGGTTTTGTTTTTCTTTTTTTTTTTTTTGTCTTTCTGTCGCTGCAATCAGGCCGTAAATGGTTAATTAACAACAGCGCATAACTCTCACCTGATGCAGCTCAGCTCAGCTCAGCTCGGCTCGGCTCAACTCAACTCAATTCAGCTGAAAGCAAACAAAGCTTGTGTGGATAATGCAACAATGCCAATTATGTCCATGTCCATGTCCATGTCCATGTCCAGTCCAGAGTCTCGGATCTCAAACTCAATCTAAATCTCAATCTGTCGCTTTTGGTCTTTGTGAATTAGCAAACGCTCTGTTTCTGTCTCTGTTTATGCTACTGTCGCCATCTCAATCTCAATCTCAATCTCCATCCCCATCTCTATCTCTACTTCTATCTCTGTCTTTGCTGTTATTGTTTCAGTTGTTTTCAGCTAGTTCTTGTTGTTGTTTTTGTTTCTGTTTTTGTTTGCTGTTGCCATTTGATATGGGGCAATTGTGTCACACCTCTGGACCTGGTTCCAGTTACACACACTCTGTCCGCTGTCGACATCATGTCCAATGTCATTTGTCATAGATGTATCTGTATCTGTATCTGCATCTGCATCTGTATCTGTATCTGTATCTGTGTGCGCACTTGAAACTGCTGTTTGTTCTTCAGCATCATCATCTTCTTTAGCTGTGTAGCTGTGTGCCACTTATCCAATTTAGCTTTGGGCCCTTCTGCCACAAGCTATGTGTCTGGCTCTCGCTCACCTATATACTAGATATGATGACGGTGTCTGTAAATGAGATTGAGCTTGGAATGATGTCTAAGTTTGCCAGGCACTTGACTCAGCATTAGGCGAATTCGCTCATGAGGAAATTGTCACGCTTCGTGCAGCAAAACTGTGTGCAACCCATATGGATGTGCCACTATGCAATTCTCTTTCTATCTTTCTATCTTTCTATCTCGCCTGCCAGCATTCTATGCCATTTCCACTTCGAGTAACACTAGCCCATTTATTATGTTTGCCAAGCGTTCTAAAAGCCATTTTTAATTGCACACACCCAGAGACGGTGTTTGGGCAACCTGCAAGTGAGTTTATCAGCTCAAAACACTTTAATTAACAAATCGAAGAGTTTGATTTAACAAATTGAACAAATATAAAATATGAAATCAATAACTTTTCAAACAGCAAGCATAGAAAGCAACTCAGATTAATGCCTGTTCTAGATTTTAAACACAGCAATAAAAGTTGATTTGAAATAATTTATTAAGCTCGTAATTAAAAGCCAGTAACAAGTTAAATTCGATTGGATCGATTGAAATAAAATAGATAAAGAGTCTTATTTTTAATTTAGCGAAAGTAATCGATTATTAAATAAAAACAAATCCAATTAAGACTAAACGAAAATGATTTTTACCAATGAATTCAATCAGTTAACGAAATCATATCAAAATTGAAATTCAAACAAAACAACAAAGGAATCTCAAAGACTATGCCTGTCATCAGTTATAAATGGTTATTCTAAATAAAAACTAAAAAAAATAAACAAGAAAAACTCGCAGAAGAAGAAGAAGATGTAGTAGAAGAAAGATCTTATCTAAATTTTGCTTGTGTTTTCCCGAGAACAGAGAACAGAGAACTTGGAATGTGAATGCGAATGTGAATAATTTTTTCCTCTCCTTTTTATGGGGAGGATGCGCGCAGGCAGATCGAATGAATGCGAAATGCAATAAAAAGAACATATATCAGATATATATATATATATATATATACGAGTATACAAATACAAAGATTGCGTCAAGTTTTGCGTTTGGCATTTCATAAATCGCTTAAAACTTTTTTGCATGTAAATTAAACGAACGTATCGAATCGGGTTCTGCATAAGTTGAGAGCTGTAAAAAGGATTCCTGGAAACGTGTCCCCAGCTTCAACTTCATCTTCTTCTTCTGCTGCTGCTGCTGCTGCTGCTGCTTGATTCGTTGTTCGTTGTTCGTTGCTCGTTGTTGGAGTGTCGCTCATAATCCTAGCCCGATAAAGAGCCGCAACTGAGGCGACGCAACGGCATTAAGCCTGATTAGGTTAGCGCGTACTCCTACAACAACAGCAACAGCAACAACAACAACAACAACAGCAACAGCAACAACAATATAAAAGAAAGAAAGGCAAACAAAAACGCTCAACTCATAAAGACTTGAAAAGCGACGAGGCAATGGCCAACATGGCCAAATGGCCAAAGAAAACAAAAGTAAGCCTGTACAAGTTCAAGGTCAAGTGCGGGTCTGCCGCACACACACACACACACATCGACTGAGACACGGCTACAGTGTAGATACAGATACAATATATCTCTGAGATGCGCAGCTGCGCGTTGACCGAAGCGGCAAACAACTTGAGCCCCAGACAACAACAGCAACAACAGCAACAAAAGCAACTCTTGAGTTGCCGCAGCTCTCGTTTATCTCTCATCGTTTTGGCCAAGTTCGCTGATGCTTAATGGGTGCTGCCGCCACTTCAACAGCAAAGGGCGCAAGAACTTCTCAAACACCAAGAAGAGCAGAGCATGTTGCAGCAGCAGCAGCAGCAGCAGCAGACGACGTTGAAGACGAGCAAACAGCAACGCGACTCCCCCAAAAAAAAAAACCATAACCAAAAAAAAAAAAAAGATAAAAAAAAACACAACAACAAAAAAAGAAATAAAATGTTGCATTCGTTTTTTTGTTTTGTTTTGGGGCCTGTTTGAGAAAAAGATCAGGCAGCTTTGTGTGCCACCCAAGCAGCAGCAGCCAGTCGATTATTTATCGCACGGATAACGCGACCGACAGTTACAGATACTCAGAAACAGCAACAGATACAGCTACAGCTACAGCAACAGATACAGCTACAGCTACAGCTACAGCTACAGCTACAGCTCCAGCCAAAGATACAGCTACAGCTAAAACTACAGCTATAGATACAGCTACAGCTACAACTATAGATACAGATACAGATACAAATAAACGTGTACGCAAAACTTTAACCATTTCTTTGTTATATCCAACAAAAAATATATATATATATTGAAAGCATTTAATGAACGTACACTGACAAAAACTATCTAATCGTTGCCAAAATAAAACAAATTTGCACAAAATCATCTATGCAAATTAGAGTCGCATTTGACAACAGGCTGAGAAAGCTGTTGTTAACTTTGACAGCAACTTGTTTGCTTACAACAACAAACCAACTTTAACTACAAAATTCTAAAATTTAAATGAAATCAAATTCAAAGGAAAAAAGCTACAAATGAATGCTGAAAAATATTACTTAAGCACTGCGCGCTTAATTAGATCAAAGACACTTAAAAATTATCGTTGAGTTAAGGTTGATATTTCTTTATATTTTTCTTCTTCTTCAGTAGCAAATTTGCTTCTTTTTTTTTGGGTAGTAAAGTTAGGACAATTATATGTTGACTATGAGAAGATCTGTTTTTCGTCTCGGGTATTAGCTTTTGGGGCCTTTGTCGGATCTGGGTTCTCAGAGGTCTCCGGCGGCAACCCACACTGACTGAGCAGCGGCTGCGACTGCGCAAAGCTGACTTCGACTTCGAGTTTGAGTTTGAGTTTGAGTTCGAGTTCGCATTTGTATTCATATTTGTATTTGTATTCGTATTCGTATTCGTATTCGTATTCGTATTCGTATTCGTATTCGGACTCGAGTTTGAGTTCGACTTTGAGTTTGGACTTCGCCTTCGACTTCGTTTGTTGGTTTGCCATTTGGCATTCACACAACTTTTGTTGTTTGTTGTTTTTGTTGTTGTTGTCGTCATTTAAAGTCTAATCAAAACATTTGAAGTTACTTAAGAAACCTACGCAGCTTAAGTTGCGTTTCTTGTTTCGAATTCTTAACTTGTCGCTGTTGTTGTGCACACACAAACACACACACACACACACACACACACACATACACACAAACAGTTTTGTGCGACATTTCTTAAGCAGTCGTTGCTGTTTTTATTGTTGTTCTCAAGTCTCATGTTGCCCAACCAAGTTTTTGTTTTCTTTGTTTACACAAAAATGAGACGAAAGACAACAAATCGAAGGCTACAAAAAAAAATCAGTTTGAAGAACATATTTATTTCTTTTCTCTTTTTCAAGTTTGAAACTGGCCAAATGTTGTCCAAAAAAGATGCCAAATGCTGGCAGCACAACAACCTGCAACATCCCCCTCCACCCACCCGCTTTGTAGTAGTAGTGGGCAAGGTCGTTGTCCTGTTGCTCAGTTAGTTTCAGCAATGAGTCAAAAACTCAACCAAAAGCGTCAACTGTTTTCCTTGGCCAACTTATCAAAAAATGTGGCAAAACGAGCGAAGCAGACGCTGCTGCTGTTCTTATTGTTGTTGTTGTTGTTGTTGTTGTTTTTGCTTCTGATCCTTTGTCTGATGGGTAGGAGTAGGGGAGGGGGAAGCGGTAGATGCATTGCTGGGCTTTGTTGTGCTTCTGGCGCCGCGTGGGCGGCGCGTCTATTGATTTTCCTTACTTGCCTCCACACAGTGCATTTACCCTAAAAAAAAATTAAGTGACGACATTTATGGCACC